TAAGAGTGGGTATTTAACTAAATATTATAGATCAGCCGCCTTAGAGTCTCTGACTCTTTGTGACTAATAAAGTATTTTACATTTGTCCTACATTAATATAAACCACCGCACTTTCTCTTGAGCTGGCCACCCCCTCAGCCACACAGCACGCCATGCACGTCTCAGTACGTGCCTTAGTCACACACCACACGGCACACTCGCACAAGACACTGCTACTGAAGACACCAGCGCATCCCACATCCCATCTACGGTACTGCTCTACCGGCCACGTGCACACGCCATTGGCGGCATGCACTCAACGAGCGCAGCAGAGACACAAGAGAATTTATAACCCGTCGCCATGCACTGGCATGCGTGATGATGAATATAGTGGACACACAGTAAGGCGCTGGCTATCTACGCAGTTTCCTCTGCACTCTGTAGGAAGCGAAGACACAACTCATGATATCGGTAGGAGGAGGGGTAGGTGTGCTAGTACCTGTGTGAGCGGACTGGATAGGACGGCGAAAATACCTGATCACAAGGAATGCATTAACGCACACGAGCTGAATTATGTGGACGAGATGATGTTCAGCGAACTACTGGACATGTCTCTGCCTGCGAGTGCGACTGACTACGCTACACATGGCACAGCTGCATGTAGTATGGACAAAGATGGTCAGGGGAGGAGTTTTAAGACAGCTCAATCTATAAGTCAGTGTGACACTGAGACCACACCACGACCACCTGTGCGGCAAGCAGATGGGACACAAGACTTGAACTACATTGATGCCATGGTGTTCAGAGAGCTCTTGTCTATGCCCATAGCTGAAAGCTCGATGGCGTATGGGGTTGGTGGAGTAGGTGTCGATACTAGCAGCAGAAGCAAAGGTCCTGGACAGGGGCGGCAGGGCAGCCCTGAGGAAAATTCCTTGGGACATGCACACGTGAACTATGTCGATCAGATGATGTTTGGTGATCTGCTCGACATGCCGCTAAAAACACAGCCAGACCACAATGACAGTCCCTGCAATGGCGCCGTAGGAAACAGATTGGACGAGTTGTGGGATTCATCCGATTGCAATGCCACAGCGACTGTGCAGAGGGGCACGTCGCCAGAGCTACGCCTAGAAGACCTGAACTACATCGACCGGATGGCGTTCGGTGATTTAGAGAACATTCAGTTAGCGCCCCAGTCTACAGCATTGCCCATGGGAGACAAGAGGTTATTGCTGACGAAGGCGCTTGTCACACCCAACACCAGTGGTGCGCACACACAGACAGAGACGGGGCGGGCTGGACTCGGCAAGGTGGGTGGCACTGGGACGTTGCATGCGGCGAGTGAGGGAATGAAAGAGGATAGCATGAACTACATAGATCAGATGATGTTTGGTGATATAGAAGACATGCTTGTGCGATCAGACCCCTCCACCGTGCCGGTGGAAGTGCCCGTCTCAGCTTCACACACACACACCCGGAATAGTCCGAATGTCCTGCCAGACAGGTGCAGGGCTACACCCTGCAACAGGGGAGAGGGGGAGATACACCCCGTGCAGCAGGATGTCTCCAAGCGTTTGACGGCAGAGGTCCAACTGAACTACATAGACCAGATGATGTTCGGTGGTCTGCTGACAGCGACACCCCTCTCCATGACACAGGAGAGCCAGCTGGAAGGTGCAACGGGTGTGGCGTCGGACCTCACAGACAACGGGCACACACACAACTCATTAGACATGGCCACGCCTGGGAAGTGGGACGACAGCACCAGTGAGAAGGTGAGGCCGTCTATGTCGAAGGGTGCGGTAGGCGCAGTGGAGGTAGACGTTAGCATGAATTACATTGACCAGATGATGTTTGGCGAATCGGAGGGGCTGCAACTAGACCCGGGCGAGCGGTCCTAGGCTCAGGGCACCCGGGTGCAAAGGACAGGTTAATGTTCGGGACAACTTGGCGCAGTTAGTCGTACTACACTGCAGCGGAGAGGGTGGCATGCGCAATATGAGACCCAATTGTGTACATTAGCTTCTGATCGGCTTGCAGTGGGGGGTGGGTGTTCACCTGGGCTACCTGCCCGATACTTATCTACCCCTCCTATTGCATTTTTTGGGTGCATGTACTCGTACTGTGAACATCAGGAGGAAACACATCTATGAGGCCTGACTGATACTTGAAAGCCGCACCATCCGGTTTGCTTAGGCAAAGGGATAGACTCAGAAGACCAATATAATATGATATTAGTATACTGGACGTTGCAAGTGTTTGGGATCATGTCACGCATGTAAACATTAGTGCAGTATTGTATACTACACCAATCAAATGTATGCAAACAAGACTTAACACCAATTGAATGCACACGATTAAGACTTAACACAAATCAAATGTATACAATTAAGACTTAGCACCAATCAAATGTATACAATTAAGACTTAGCACCAAATAAATGTATACAATTAAGACTAATACCAATCAAATGTATAGAATTAAGACCTCCTCACCAATCAAATGCATACGATTAATTAAGACTTGGCATTTATCAAATGTATACAATTAAGACTAATACCATTCAAATGTATACGATTAAGACTTCACACCAAATAGATGTATACGATTATTTAAGACTTGGCACTAATCAAATGTATACCATTACTAACACTAATCAAATGGTTACTATTAATTCAAAAACCAATCGAACGTATACGACTAAGACTAATTCCAATAAAATGTACACTATTAAGACTACCACCGATCTAATGTATACGATTGATACTACCACTAATCAAATGTACACTATTAAGACTACCTACCACCAATCAAATGTACACTATTAAGACTACCACCAATCTAATGTATACAATTGATACTACCGCCAATCAAGTATATACGATTAAGACCAGCCATCCGCATCAGCGGACGACGCCGTGCGGCCGATGTAATGAGAGGTTTATTGGTCATCTTTCTTCAGTTCCTAATCATCACCTCGCAGTGCACCGTCCCAGTCAATCCTAGTCCAAAAGTTAATGACCCAACACCTCTTTCCCATACACACACGTGGTAGCAGGCAAACGGCTTGGTGTCCACACCCATGTTTTTTTTGGACCCTTAGGTCAACCGCTGGGCCCAATTTACTATACATGTTTAGTCAGATAACCACCCCGTCTTTCTCCCGTACTCTCTCGTAGGGTTTAGGGTTTGATCCTGCTCCCATTTCCCGCTGTAAGGTGCTGCACTTCAGCAGATTCCTCTCCCACTAATGCGATGCACCACCTTACCTCGGCTTTGACCTCAGTTATCTGAACCGTGTGCTACGACACTACGTCCAGTGGGTAGTGCAGGGTTACACCATAGCCTGTGCTACCACCGTTTGTTCAGGGGTAGTGCAGTGTTACACCATAGCCTGTGCTACCACCGTTTGTTCAGGGGCAGTTCAGGGTTACACCATAGCCTGTGCTACCACCGTTTGTTTAGGGGGTAGTACAGGGTTACACCATAGCCTGTGCTACCACCGTTTGTTTAGGGGGTAGTGTAGGGTTACACCATAGCCTGTGCTACCACCGTTTGTTTAGGGGGTAGTGCAGGGCTACACCATAGCCTGTGCTGCCACCGTTTGTTCAGGGGGTAGTGCAGGGTTACACCATAGCCTGTGCTACCACCGTTTGTTCAGGGGGGAGTGCAGGGTTACACCATAGTCTGTGCTACCACCGTTTGTTTAGGGAGTAGTGCAGGGTTACACCATAGCCTGTGCTACCACATACAATAACCGTGTGGCACTCTACCCAGGCTTAGACTGCCCTGCTGTAGAGCGTTAAAGTAAGACACCACTGCTCAACTGTGAAGTGCTTCACTCACACCGTGAGTAGGCATTCCTCGCTTGTGTATTTATCACCTGTGTCTTTATCAGTTCTGTCTTTCTCGCTAGTGTTATTCTCGCTCGCGTTATCAGCTGGGGTTTTCTCGCTCGTGTATATATCAGCTGGGTTTTTCTCGCTTGTGTTTATATCAGCTGGGGTTTCCTCGCTTGTGCAAATATCAGCTGGGTTTTTCTCGCTCGTGCATATATCAGCTGGGATTTTCACGCTTGTGTATATATCAGCTGGGGTTTCCTCGCTTGTGTATATATATCAGCTGGGGTTTTCTCGCTTGTGTATATACCAGGGGGGCTTTTCTCGGCTATTCATGTGTATAGCATTACGCCAGCTTGATCACTCGGTTGTGAAGTGCGCAGAGAGTCTCCCGATGGCCCACACTGTACACGATACAAAAATAGTACGCGAGGTGAGCAAGCTGTGGGTGAGTTTCGATCATAAACGAAAGGAATATGGTTATAGATGGAAGCTAACATTACGTGGCAGTAGACGTAGTACGTGGTGTAATGCTCAGTCTTCTCCAGAGGGGCCGTCCTGCATGACATACACTACATCTACCACTGTAAACCTACCACTATACACCCACCACTATACACCTACCCTTATACACCTGCCACTGTACACCTACCACTGACAATTACGGCGTATGATCCCACTTTACAATCCCAATGCCTGTACCTATGTCTACAGCATGCTCAGCAGCCAGTGCAGTACAACGCACACACAGTCTAACCCTACCCTAACCCTACCTTAGCACCCCTATGTTGCGTTTCACAAAGGATTGGTACACACGCTTCTCCCATTCGGCATCCAGACTGGAGGTGGCCTCGTCCAGTATAGCAATCGACGGCTGGTGCCACACCACCCGAGCGAGACACAGACGTTGCTGCTCACCAACAGACAGCATGGTGTGCCAGTTGGCGATTACATCCAACCCACCCACACGCTCGAGCACACGCTCCAGGCCAAACTCACCTGTGGATAGTTGGAAAGAGAGTGAAGTGTGTTATAGCGTGTACAAGGGGGTTGATAAAACTCACCTGTGGATAGTTGGAGAGAGAGTGAAGTGTGTTATAGCGTGTACAAGTGGGAGTAAAAAACTCACCTGTGGATAGTTGGAGAGAGAGTGAAGTGTGTTATAGCGTGTACAAGGGGGTTGAAAGAACTCACCTGTGGATACTTGAGCCAACTACTTTAGGACACAGACACAGGCGGATAGGAATGTGCTCAATGGGCACTTCACTCAATCTACAAAGGAACGATATGCACAGCACCACCTCATGACACCCATCCCATCACCAAATGCCAACGACATAAGACACGGGACACTAGCACATAACCACACGCATATATATACATACATCATGAATACACACACTCAAAGAGAGTGACACTAGCATATAACCACACACAAACACACACACACACACACCACATGCATATATATGTATACAAACATACATACATACATACACGCATAAATACACACACAAACATATGCACACGAAACACACATACACATACACATACACACCCAAAACACACACGCACACACGCACATACACACAAGTATAACGCATTCCCCCTCAAACACAACCCCATACATCCGCGCAACACAACACTTACACAAGAGGGCTCGGATGGTGTCATCAGACGCCGCGTCGTCGGCCTGCATGGTGGGGTACATCACGTGCTGCTTCAGCGTCAGCTCGTGCGCCAGATACGCGCGCTGGGGCAGGAAGAACAAGCCGCCTGTGCCAGTGCTAAGCTTCGCGGGAAGCGACACACTACCTTGCGAGGCTGGCCACAGACCCCTACGCGTGCATGAGAGAGACAGAGAGAGAAAGGGGGGGGGGGGTAGATAGTGGTGGTGGGGGTGGTGTCAGTGGATGGAGAAGAGGTGCTGAACAGTTCGGGTAGTTGTGGGTGTTAAGTAAGTGTACAGTACAGGAAGCATTGTGGCCAGGGTGTATAGTATGTGGGGTACACACACACATACCAGACACACACACACACACACACCCACACACATACCAGACACACACACACACACACACCCACACACATACCAGACACACACACACACACACATCCACACACATGCGCATGCGAGTGTACACAGCACACGGCCACGCCTACAGAGGATATGGCTATGACCACGTAGCGCTACAGCAATACACACTGGCCGACATGGGCGTACGCAACGATTGTACCTGAGCACTCGCAGGAGTGAGCTCTTGCCCTTGCCTGAGCTAGCCAAGAGCAGAAGACTGTCCCCTTTGGCCAAAGTAAAGGACAGGCCCGACATCAGCACCTCCGCAGCCGGAGACGTGATCTGTTGAATCCGTGTGGGTGGGATAGGCGGGTATGAATATATGTAGAAAGATAGGTATGAACACATGCACACGCGTGTATGTGTACATAGCAGTGTACTGTAGCCATGACCAAGGCTCTTACCGTCACTGTGGGGGGTCACCAGCAAGACGCAGAATGCTGCCTTGGCTAGAGGCCTTTGTTAAAAACCATATCACGAAGGCTTACGGAAACGTTTAAAACCATATCACGAAGGCTTACGGAAACGTTTAAAAACATATCATGAAGCTTACGTAAACGTTGAAAAATGTATCACGAAGCTTACGGAAACATCAGCACAGTACACTTGGCCAGAAGGAACAAAATCAAGATAGTGGTGTATTGGATGTATATGTGAAGGTGTATAATCAACAATGGAGTATTGGATGTGTATGTGAAGGTGTATAATCAACAATGGAGTATTGGATGTGTATGTGAAGGTGTATATTTAACAATTGAGTATTGGATGTATGTGAAGGTGTACAATTAACAATGGAGAATTGGATGTGTATGTGAAGGTGTATAATTAACAATGGAGTATTGGATGTGTATGTGAAGGTGTATAGTTGGCAATGGAGTATTGGATGTGCATGTGAAGCTGTACATCTGATATGGCTCTACACAGTATGATTCCTAGAGAGTACCTAGATTCACACAGACATTCAAGCGCTCGGCAACGGCGCCATAGACAATAGCCCCCCCCCCCCGCTCCATAAAATTCAAACATGCGCAGCACACACATACAGAGTGGAAGAGATCTGCTCACACGCATGCACATGGTCTGTACGCTCAGACTACTACACTGCCAATGCACCACCAACAAGCAGGACGCACGTGCACGGTATACCCGACCCTCTAACATGACTACCCCCCCCTAACCCCACGATCACTGCAGCCAGTACTATGGTCCGTGGGTAGCGTAGTGCGTGGTGTACGCATGAGACAGGCTGACACTCCTCTCCTCACTCACCTGCAGCTTGTCCACTACCAGTGTCTGGGGGTTGTCTATGAACATCTGGCTTTCATTCAGAGCGGTGTTTGTGTTTGGGTGTGTGTCGTGCCCGTTGCGTCGTTTGCTGTCAAGCAGCGCGTCGTGTAGTTCGGACACGCGTGTGACGTACGCGACGAAATCTGAGGTTTGCGTAGACAGCTGTTGTGACGAGAACAGAGTGAGCACATGGATCAAAACAGAGACTTCGTATTATGTAGTCACCGCACAAGTATGTGCCAGTGCAATGATGGCTTTTTAGTACATACGTGACCATAGGAATAATCAATCTAGGTATCTCGGGCAATAAAGGAGAATTATATGAGATTAGTATGGTATGGGGCACGCACAAGTATGTGCCAGTGGAAGGATGATATCTGGAATACACCTCCCATTCATATCGAAAGGAAATTGATATATCGAACTGGCATAGCCAAAGGAAGTGGCAAACGTCGAGCACGCTATATATTACACAACACTGTGTATATGGAACAAGATGGCTGGATGGGCCATGTGAGGCTGCCAAACAGCAGTATGTCTGGTATCAGAAGTCATTTAGTACTACTGTATTCCACTGTAGTATACTGTAGAATTCTACTGTAGTACTCTATTGCAGTATTCTATTGTAGTATTCTACTGTAGTATTATATTGTAGTATTCTATTGTAGTATTCTACTGTAGTATTCTACTGTAGTATTCTACTGTAGTACTCTATTGTAGTATTCTATTGTAGTATTCTACTGCAGAATTCTATTGTAGTATTCTATTGTAGTATTCTACTGCAGTATTCTATTGTAGTATTCTATTGTAGTATTCTACTGCAGAATTCTATTGTAGTATTCTATTGTAGTATTCTACTGCAGTATTCTATTGTAGTATTCTACTGCAGTATTCTATTGTAGTATTCTATTGTAGTATTCTATTGTAGTATTCTATTGTAGTATTCTATTGTAGTATTCTATTGTAGTATTCTATTGTAG